TGCTATTGGAAATGATTTTCTTCTGTTTTGGCCCATCCAAGTAAAACTAGTCATCAAGAGAACCACAGCCCATAATTGCGAACTACACCTATCTATTAAAAACAAAATCAAAATCATTTTGAGCATTGCAAATAGGCTATGAATATGCGCATGCTTGTGTTTATAAAGCTTATCATTTTGTGTCACGCACAATCCTGTTTTATATACTAAATATAAAGTTACACACACCAGATGTGTTCAAACAATCAGATACAAACCAAGGCGAGCACAATACAATACTGACAATATTACAATAATATACATGCACAAAAAATGATCTACTCACCACTAATTTTACAGCTATTGTACCATCGTGGCGTTAATGTCTCTATCACTTGGTCTATCATACTGGACGTCGACTTTCAGATGCAGTCACTGACTAGGTCTACTGACCTTATTATTCGAGTCGCTAACCGTCATACCGCGCCGCCAAATAAACAATAAGATATAGCACTTGTTTTTCTATTTTAAAAAATTCAGTTATCTGCGCCATAAACAAGTGAAATGGGCAAAAATTCCACTGCGATATGTTGAAACGTCATATAATTTACTACAAATACGGCATCATATCTTCGTTTCCGTTCATTTTACGCGGCATTGACATGGCGGCGGAAAAGTTCGCACGCGATGACCAACTTCAGAGGCGAAATTTGACAACTTCTAGGCATCGCATGATGGTCAAATATATATGAAAATGCTTCTAAAAGACTGAATTTTTATTTAAGCTAAAAAAAGTAGGTCCACAAATTCGACATCTTCAGAGCAATGACATACAAAGCGGAAAACATAGAAATATAAATAAATTACAACTATTTAGAAGATATTATATTACAAAAGTAGAAAGAGGAGTGGATCAGAGCATAAGTAGAGGGACCGACTGCTTTGTACGTTGAGAAAGGGTTTGTGTTTGTTAATGAGAAGATTTTCTCGACTGAGGAGTTCGTCTGGAGAAGAGCAACAAGAAATAATCTTAAAATCATTAAGAGAGGCGGTGCTATCAAGATGGAAAAAGATACTAGACATGGCCGGATTGCTGCTTTTATTGCCTGTTAGAGGAGCTATACTAGTAACACCCAAGTGTTCAGATACTCGCGTGTGTGCAAGTGACGGACCGCTTGGCCCAAATCGTTGCGGAACGGCAAAGACACGTAAAGGAATACACAACACAATATCTCAAATCCTAAGGAATTTTGTCCTTAAAGGTGAAGATTTGAGACAACTGACGTAAAGTTGGACGAAAGAAAGTCCTATGTGGTCCGTGCTTCTGTTAGCTTGTTTCCTAAACTGTGTACTTGGGTCGGTTGAGTGAGATAGTGACGTGGAAATCGAGTTGTAGAAAGACAGAGATTAGCAGATGTTTTAACATTTGATATTTGTAGCGTTGTAAGGAGAAAGCAGATTGATTCCGCACTGTAACAGTAGAGGTAAATACAGAAAAGGGACGTTCCTTTAAATTTTTGGTTACACATCTATACCAAACGAAAGAATAACAATACGTTTTTAATGCTTAATGCCTCGTGCCTTACAGGTTGAAGCTATAATAATTATATATTCATATTTACGCTTCCATTCGTTATATTGCATCATCATCACCTGCAACTCCAAATTTACACTGTCATGTTCTTTTTCTAAATCTGTATTACTTTTCTGTATGATGCTAGTCTCGTCAATCTTCTTCACACGACACGACAGAGCGTACCCACGATTCTTTAAAGTTCTACTTCGATGTTTGATATCGTGGACAATTGCATGCTTTGGGGAGGTATTTTACTTGTCTATTTAAGTCCTTTCAATATCAAGAGTCATTAACTCATCATCACCAATATATTCGTTGGAATTCGTTGGTATCTATTGGAGATATATACAGTATAGCGCTGGTACTTCGGCTTCGAGGCTCGAGACTGGACTCAAATCCTCAAAGTCTGTTGAAAATCCTATTGAAAACCCTATTAACACAAACATGAATACTAATAAATACAACAAAAGCACTATGCTCAAATTCATCAAATCACCGCGTAACACAAAAATTAACAGACACCTTACTGTCAAAATACAAAAAGTGTCTGTTGTGATTTACTGTAATTTGTTCTGTTTTTCTGTAGCGGTTACCGATTTGTCAGGCAACTATCGCAATAAAATTTAAATTTCGCGCCTTTTATGCAATAAATCTAACAAACTTTTCCTACAAATTATCCTTTTACTACTATTTCCTACAAACTTTTACTACTATTTCCTACAAATAGAGGGTAATAAAGCGCATTTAAACATGCACATTTACTATAGATGGCCCTGAAGGGGTAAAATGGGAACTGGGATTGATCTATTTTTAGACTGGGAAAATGGAATTTGTGTTGCTGGGACTGCGATTTGGCCACTGGGAATAGGAAATGAAGTCCTCGAAAATGGGAATGGGATTGAAGTAATGTGAGTCGATTCCCAATTGTGATCCGTTTTTGGTGTCTTTAGTCATGGTTTTTGTTGTTAACTATATTATTCACAGCATTACTTGCGAACAGGCATACTCTGGCGCTCGGAATTTTGGGTTTTCTGATTATGCGTGTCTCAGAATGATGCAAATGCCATTTCCGGGATTCAAATTTAAAAATTTTCCGTGCCTTCGGCACGAGACCCCCCCCCAATATTTCATAAAGTGTCCACCACTTGCACACACGGTGGCTTAAAAGGTCTTAAAACTGTTTATTCTACCGATAAATAAAGGGTTTTTTATTGACTGGGATTTCAATAACTCGGACTGGGATTTCTAATAAAAATCCAACTGGGACTGGGATTTTGCCAAAATTTCAGGTGGAAAATGGGGTTGGGACCCCCCCCCCCCCTTCAGGACCCTCACTATAGGCTAATGACTCGGCAAAATTACCAAACAACAGTCGGCAAAAGATCACTCACACACCCCCACTCGAAGAGGGTTAGCGCCGCCCCTGACCGTGTGTGCAAGTGGCGGACACTTGATGAAAGATTGGGGGGGGGGGGCTCGTGCCAAAGGCACAGAAAATTTTAAAATTTGAATCCCGGAAATGGCATTTGCAGCATTCTGAGACACACATAATCAAAAAACCCAGAATTCCGGGCGCCAGAGTGTGCCTGTTTGCAGGTAGTGCTGTGAATAATATACAGTAGTTAACAACAAAAATCATGACCAAAGACACCAAAAAACGGATCAAAATTGGGAATCGACTCACATGACTTCAATCCCATTCCCATTTTTGAGGACTTCATTTCCCATTCCCAGTGGCCAAATCCCAGTCCCAGCAACCCAAATCCCATTTTCCCAGTCTAAAAATAGATCAATCCCAGTTCCCATTTTACCCCTTCAGGGCCCTCAACTAGAAATCTGCTAGATTTTAGCAGATCACGTGACCAGCATCTACCAGGGTCTTTGCTCCCCAAGAGGAAAGACCCTGGGTACAAGATTGACAAACACAATGACCTGTGCTGGCGTGCCTAAACAGGCTGAGTGTTATTGCTTTGTTTGCACAAATATATTGTAAATAAGATTTTTTTGACAGATTTTGATCTTAAAAATTGCTGCTGCTGCTGCTGCTGCTGCTGCTGCTGCTGCTGCTGCTGCTGCTGCTGCTGCTGCTGCTGCTGCTGCTGCTGCTGCTGCTGCTGCTGCTGCTGCTGCTGCTGCTGCTGCTGCTGAAAGTGTTAAATTTCTGAGGTTCATGAGAAAATATATCTATAATATATACAAATTACAGTGGTGAGACCAGTAGTTTGTTTTGGTGAGCCAGCCCACCTCAAAAGTCTTTTGTGAACATGGGATGAAATCAGCTCAGCAAAGCGAGCTAGCTTGAGTCAGTGAACTCTAATAATAAATGGAAGGCTAAGTCAGGGGGGAAGTTGAAGCCGTGCCAGTGAAGAGCCGTGCTTGAAGCTTTTTTTGTAGGTAGACCCAGTCCTTTTTAAATTTTTTTTTCAAAATATGCACATTTTTTTATCAGAAAAATCTTGCCCCAAAATATTAGTTATACTACCAAATTTAATTTATATCAGTAGCATGATAAATGAATTTAATATTCGCAAAGCAAACAAATCACGTATTAGCAAAAAAATACGAAAAAACACGGCCACAAGCATGAACGGTCAGAAAAAACGCGCGTTTTAGGCTGCTTTTTCTGAGTTTTTGGAAGATTAAGATAAAACTAAGACGTCACACCTCAGGAATTTTTTATACCCATGCAAAATACATCTGTATGCGAAGTTTCAAGAAGATTTAACGT